CACACCACACGGCCCACATCTAACTGTCCGCCTGGAAAAGCAGCATTTAGTGACCTGTGACATGTTTGCTGGAAGGGGTGCCTTTCCTGGCTGATAAGTTTTCTTGTTTCTTTTTCCATTACAAAAATATAATACAATTTATGTAAAGCTTGGGGAATACAGAAAAAAAAATGCATCCTAGATACAGTAAATTTGGGTTTTCTCTCAGCACCTCGCAAGCATAGTATCCCAGCATTAAGTCATGCCCAAACCCAATGGACTCCCGGTCTACTGCCTCGTCACAAAGGAAACTGCAGTACAGTGCTGTGCAGACTCTGGCTTGATCCTTTGTCTCTATGTCCAGACTCACTTGAGTGACTGCGTGTGACCTAGCCGCTAATTTCTATACACTTACGTCCCCATGCTTCATTGTCCGTACAATCTTAGTATCTGCTCGCAGCTCTCAAGGTGCTGGGGCCATTTCTTATTTAGTAGAAGGCGACAGAGGCGGGTGTGTAAGCTATCATGATTTATGTGCACTCTGCTTTCGAAATTAAAAATATCTATCACCCGAAACATTCTACTCAAAACATTTGTATCCGTTCCTTCGGCATGAAATGCCATGTTAAACACAGATGAACTGCATTACTGGAAGAAGAACTATTAAAATGTGAGGGCTGGCTCTCTCTGAGAAGGAACCGAGGCCGCATTCTACACACAGGCTGTGCAGCTTGGGTTGGTGCTTCAGGGTCACAAGCATCTACGGGCATGACCTGCGCCAGCCGTGAGCGAATGCCACGGCATCAGTGGATTAATGCCTCTTAATTTTATAGGTGGAAATAAGATACCAAGAGAGCAAAACTGAACTGGCAGCCCCAGGGAGAACCATCGGTTGAAGAATAAAATTTCAACCTGAGAAAGGTTGGGAAGATCTGACAAAGCCTTGTGACATTAGATAGTTTTCCTCAAACTTTGGGATGTCTATATATATATGTGTGTGTGTGTGCGTGTGTGTGCGTGCGTGTGTGTGTGTGTGTGTGTGTGTGTGTGTGTGTGTATCCCAGGCATACCTATAATCACAGATGGAATCTGTTAATCCAAGCACCCAGGAAACTAACGCAGCAGGACTGCAAATTTAAAGGCAGCCTGGGCTACCTAGCAAGTTCTGGACCAGGCTGAGCTATGTAAAGAGACTCTACTCAGAGATGGAAAGGAGAGAGAAAGTGAAAGGGGGGATAAAGTGGGAGATGAGGAGAAAAGAGGAGAAAGGAGGGGCACAAAGTCCCATTACAAAAACTAAAATCTGGAACCAGGTATTTTTATCAGACTCTCCAATGGTCCGGTACGTGCCAATGTGTATGGATGCGCACGGGTGTTCGTATTACTATCTGCTCGCATAAGGACTAAGGCAAAGTTTAAAAGAAATGCTCCATTAGCTGGACACAGAAGAGAAGGAAGCATGGAGGATGTGGTCATTGACATAGCTTGGGAAGGACACAGCGAGTGGTAACCTGACTTGGGGTGTCAGAGTGACTGTACCACGTGACTACAATCTGCAGTCCATGCGTGATAAGCTTCTGACTGCTGCTGCAGCCGGTGGCCTAGGAGCTACACTTTGAGACCAGAGGTCCAAGCAAGTGAAGCAACCAGGCCAGGTTTCTCAAATGTTTGTGCTAGGGCCTCAGCCCGATAAACACGATAGACCCGCAGTAGAGTCTTTACATGGGCAAAGATCTACCTTAGGGATGGGGTAGGAGGTGAGGTTGTTTCTAGGGTTCAGGAAGAACTGGGAACAGCAGGGGCTGAGGCTGATGAAAACATCTGGACTGAGAGAGCCAGGAGCAGTCCTGGGAAAACAGACTTGACCACATTCGCCGGTGTTCTTTCCTGGAGCCCCATGAATGTAGCACCCTAAATACTCATTCTGGGGTCCTTTCCCCCACTCAGAGTCAATGCTCTGGTACTAACCAGCCTTTCAGTGCGGTTCTACGGACCATCCAGATGCCTCAACAGGCAAAGGCGCCTACTGCAAGTTCCATCCATGGGATTCACGTGTGTTGGAGTAGGAGCACCCACTTCCGACCTACAACATTCACAAACTACCCTGGCTGACGAATGTAACTGCACCCCACACACACACAATAAATACATAAAAATGTAACCATTTTTATTTTAAAATCTTACACTTAAATTTCTCTATTATGTTAAAAAATAAATGAGTTTTCATAATTCACAAGCAAACAGTATTAGTGTCAGGATTTTTTTTCTTTCGACAATGCTGCCCTCTAGTGTCTTTACAAGTGAGCATCATGTAAAAAAATTCACCTGAGCCACCAATAAGATGCTGCAGGCTAGCAAAATTCGGGGGATTTTTCTTTACAAATCAACCAATCAATCTATAAATGAAATATATAATTCTATTTATATGTAAATATAGCAATCAATAATTACTTCAAGAATTTAATTTAAATTTAAGCTGCTACCTATTTGATTCTCCTACAAGTTTTGCTTTGGCTGCTGAGCCTCCTCCACAGGCAAGAACTCCCTATACCCCCTTCCCCAGTTCCTCCCTGCCCTCTCTTCAGAGCCACACACAACAGGCAGAAGGTGTGGCCAGCAGCTAAAGGCTTGCGAACCTCCTGCCCATTCTTTTCACTATGTGTGAAGATATCATCAAGAGACCCCATCTCCCACTGAGCTCCACAAACCCAGCTGGCCCCTATTTTCAGTAGGGGTGTCCTCCACCCCGAAGCACTCTTCCTCCTCCCTCTCATCCCAGTGTTCTCTTCTCCTTTCCCGGTCTCACAATGGGTCTCATTCTTGGTCACTCCCAATGGCACCCAGATATTCTCTCACATGCCCATCTTTAACTAAAACTCTCCCTGAGCATCCCTGAACTGCTGTTGTCTCTGCCTCATTCATTTGAAGACCCATTGAACGAGTCTGTACAGGCTGTCTCCAAACCTGCCTGCCCTCCATCCTTCCTTCTCTCCAGCCTGGTCTAGGGCCCTCACAATGGAACTGAAATGGCTCTCGTGTCTACAGTCACTGTGTGTGTGTGTATCCAGCACACTGTCTGCAGCCTCTGATGTGATTGTTCCCCGTGTTCCACTCCACAGTTCTCCTTCTTGGCTCTAAAATGCCCCTCCCTGCTGGATTCTGACCGGTCAGTCAGCTGCACAGGGTCTTCTCTGTGACCTCATGCTGGCAGTGAAAACCTCTTCTCTTTTTCTCTTCAGACTTCCACCACTACAACAGCAGTAGGAAAGCTGTGCTCCCTAACACACCAGTGTCCAGCAGGGGCCATCATCATCTTGAGTCTTCAGACTCATCAGCTCAACATGCCCTCCTCCAGTGTCACCCACAGCGTCCCCATACTCCTCACGTCTGAAAGGCATCCTTGCCTTGGTCTTCCCCCACGGCCCTCCTCTCTGTAAACAGTCGGGTATCTGGGAGAAGGCCTTGATCCCTTCCTGCCTGCTAAGGGCCACACTCACTCTGTCTTAATTACCAAACCCTCCCGGTCACTCTTTGCCACAGACTCTTCCCAGGGTCCCGTACTCCAGGGCTTCCTCTTTCAGATCCCTCACAGCAGAGGCAGGATGGCATTGAGATGCAGACTCTGATTACAGGACATCTCTCGCATTCCCTTGCCTAAAAATGGCACCGAGTCCACTCAACTCTTAATAACATACAGTTGGTTTGCCCTCCGCCAACTTTACCTGAAACTCCAATGCTTCCTTGCTGGGTTCTGCTACCTAGCTTTGCTTCAATCACTGGAACCCACTGAACTCTGTCTTTCTCTCAGGGCCCTCCGCATGCTGGTCCATCACCCTAAAAATGTCATTCTCCATACCTCACAAAATGTCCGCACTTTAATGCTTCACATGATTCCCCTAATTCCTAGCCCTAACTCAGTAGATCTACCAGCGAATTCCAGGCCCGTCAAGGCTGTCCAGTGACTCCCAAAGAGCAGGAAAGAAGAGCGGGAGAGAGAGATGAAAGGAGGCAGGGGGAAAAAAAGAGAAAAGGAAAAAGAAAAAAGCGAGAGAAAGGCATATCTCGATCCCAATTCTATCTTGCGCAAGGATTCTGTTCTGTAGGACGTCTAATCTATGGGTATTATTTGGGACATAAAGAAGTCCAAGACCTTGACCCTTTAAGTACATCCGGGGACCTGGCATCCTAAGAGTGTAGTTGATGGGCTTTGTAGAAGCAAAAGAAACCCAATGTTGTCTGAGGGCTTGGCCAGCTTGAACTTGAGGCTCTTCATTCCTCCAGGTCTGTAGCTCATCTGGCTGGTGCCAAGAGGATTAGCTTAGCTCCACTCCCTGGGGAGAGGATTAATCTTCCTGATCAGGAAATGTGATGATGAACTCAAAGAGGCTAAAGTTGTAAGCTGGGTGGGCCCACCAGCAGGCCCTGGTGAAATCAATGACGCGGGTGTCTTAGCACAAAGTTTGGTTCAAAGCAGTCAAGGCCAGGGTGTGTCAAAGTGGGCTCTGAGTCCCTGTGGCTTCGGCTGTTTGTTCGGCATTTTATATGTTTATCTTTCTGCTAGACACACTTATTGAGTCATCTCTATTAAATGGCTATTGAGGATAAGGAACAGCTCTGCAAATCCACCAAACGGAAGAGACAGGCCGTTCATCCTCTGTGACCGTACATTCGCCAGTCAAAACAAACACTTTCCCTCCCTTCTCACTTTGTGGACAAGATACGCTGTTCATTTCTCAGAACAAGAACCATTGAGCGACACAAGTAAAGGAAGACCCGTGATGGTCATTGCATTTTTAATACTGTTTTAATATTGCTGCAAACTGAAAATGAAGTGTCCGTTTACCGAAAAGTACTGTCAAGCCTCCACACCACTGACGGTGAATGTGTGTTTGTCACCAGAGTAAGAGTAACTATGTTAATCAAATAAACACATCAAATTTCTAATTCGTAGAGGGAGAAGGGGAAAACACATAGCTCTGTACAGGAGGTAAGTTCATGGAATACTGCTTGGGTTTCCACAGAAATTGTCCGAGCCATGACACACGTGATCAACCAAGGCATGGCAATGTACTGGGGCACCTCGAGGTGGAGCGCGATGGAGATCATGGTGAGTTGATTCCTGGTTTTAATAGCTGCTGGGCACTGTGCCATTGTTTTTTAGAAACCACGTTTAAATTGCAATCTCTTCTGAGACTTTTATCACAATGCCATGGCGCTGGAATTTTAGGATCTGTTCCACCATTAGGGAACCCAGCAGTTTAGAACAAACCCAAGGGGCCAGATCTCCAATAGGAATCATGTTTTAGCATGTTCTTTGCTGGCAAAAAAAAAAAAAACAGAGAACTTCAAAGCTAATGAGAAATGGGAATAGAGTCTTCTAGCTTTCTTACAATCAGCTTGTTGGAAATTATTCTGCTCATAACATGCCACTTAGAGACCACTTCTTTCTGGGTGTTTATCTGAGTTTTATTTAAGAACCTAACCATATTCAAATAAAATCTTCTTCATAATAAACAATTCGAGCTTTGACTAATTTGCCCCAGACTTTACTGAGTCTAACCTTCCCATAATAAAGATTTCTCACGCTGGGCACCATTTTGGTAAGGCTTATGACCAGAGCTTTGCACGAGCCCTGTGGAAATGCATCGCATGAAGCTCCAGTGCTCACCAGCAGAAGCTCAGCTGCAATCTCTTCTGTTCCCTAGGAGGCTTATTCTGTCGCACGACAGTTCAACATGATCCCACCCGTCTGTGAACAAGCCGAGTACCATCTTTTCCAGAGAGAGAAGGTGGAGGTCCAGCTGCCAGAGCTCTACCATAAAATAGGTAACTTTCAAAATCGCATCTGATCATTCTTCACAATATGAGGATCAACGATTGGGGAGGTGGGTGTCAGGAAAATGCTTTCCAAGGGTTCCTAATTAATGTAACATAGAGATGACACAAGACATAGAGAGAACCAAGCATCTCAGAGACTGTGGCAGAATCAGCTGGGCCGGGGCTGGTCTACAGGGGTACGGTGACAGCAATCACAGAGTTGTAAATTGACTGTCATGGATACACTCAGCAGGGGTTCAAAAACATAAACATGCATTGATGAGGAGACTGGGTAACCTTTCCAAAGCATATAGATACCCACATGTCTCTCGTGCTGTGCCCGGGACCGGGTAAGACAGAAGGACTTCAACAAGCAACAAGTCAGGACAATTGGACTGTGTGGAAGCAGTGCCCAGGCTGGGGATATTGTTTGTGCGGAAGCAGGGCCTGGGGTGGGGATATAGAGACAATACAAACACAAGAAATTTGGATATTAGAAATATCAATAAGCCACATTCTTCACAATATGATAATCAATGATTTGGGAGGGGCTATGAAAATGCTTTCCCAAATGTCCCTGATTAATGTAATATAGAGATGACAAGAACTAGGCTTATATGCCAAAGCCATTTCCAAAGATTACTTTTTCCAAACACTGAATCAAAAACAACACGAACTCAACAACAGCTGGTGCTGTTTCTGCCGTGTGCCAGGCTGTGCTCCTGCTAGGTGCCAGGCGCCATCGGGCCCTGGTGGACAAGTGAAGCCCCGGCTCTTTGCAAGTAGAAACTCTTATCTCTCAGTCTACGAATTGTGGCCATGAAAAAGTCATGAATAAGCCATATTTTCGGGTTCACTTCTATGGCTCACTCCCAGGAACAGACAGTACATGTTTAATTGGTTTATAAAAGAATGAGGCACAATTTGTAAGTCCTAAGCTGTAATGGAAAGACGAATGCTGGTATTAACTCATTTATTTGGCCAGCTTTCCTCTAGAACGGACAGAGTTCTGTTTAAACACACCCTCACTTTTGGTCCCACTTGGCACAGCAATTTTCTGTGACTGTGTTGTTTTTCCCCCACAGGGGTTGGTGCAATGACATGGTCTCCGCTTGCCTGTGGAATTATTTCTGGAAAATACGGAAATGGGGTGCCAGAAAGTTCTAGAGCTTCACTGAAGGTATTTTCCTCGACTTTTAGTCTCAGGGAGGGCAGAAGGGAGGGGGATGGGTGAGAAGGGGCAGAGCTGTGGTCCAGGGCTTCCCAGCTTAAGCTGTAGCCATGGCCTCTGGCAGGGCCCCTCAGCCTGCCCAGGTCTCTGCTGCTGGCGACAGATCAGTCAGCCCTGCACAGAGAATTTGTCTCTAAGGACGGACAGAAAAGTGGCCAGTGACTTGCAAACTCAAATCCCTACATTCTGACCTATTCTTATATTAAAGGAGGTATTTCATTCCTTGTCTAGAAGTGACAAAATTTAAAATCCCTTTTCTATCTAAGAGGATTTAATTTTCCTTTTCTGAAAAAACAAAACTTAACCCGTAAGGGCTTAATACATTCGAGGGAAACAGCTGTAGCCAAGTAAGGCTTGAGGTTGGCTTACATTTCCTACTGCATTTGGGAACTGGGGAAAGAAAGGAGAGAGAGAAAGAGAGAGAGAGAGAGAGAGAGAGAGAGAGAGAGAGAGAGAGAGAGAGAAGAGAGAGGCTCCAGCTTCCATTAGCACTGAACCAGCAGAATAGCCCAAGCCAAGCCAAGCCCTTTACCAGAGGAGTTGGGAGTGTGTGTGTGTGTGTGTGTGTGTGTGTGTGTGTGTGTGTGTGTGTGTGTTGGGGTAGGGGGAACACCTACCCAGAGACATTTCCCTAACTAGAAGGGCTCTGGGCCTTTCTCACTACACAAGTTCAGCTCTTGGCTTGTTTATCCTCTAGAATCACAAGATATAAATACCCCCCAAGCATGCTGACAAGACAGCGTTCTCAAGTTTTAATTGCCCCAAAGCACAGTTATCTCAGAATATTTAATGAGATCTTGTTCCTGAAAACTGAAGGTCGTTTGTAACAAATTCTAAACAAGAACAGGAGGAAAGGCTAATGGCATCTTAGGCAAGGATGTGAAGGAGGAGGAAGGCAAGAGAAAAAAGAAGGAAGAGGAAGCACCGAGGAACACCTACTGTGCACCACGCAGAGAGCTGTGAGCTACCTTTTACTGCCTTCCAGTTTCACAATGCAAACAAGATAGCTTGCAGTCAGTTGTGGCTAACCTAAACTGCTACACAGGCACTCCTCTACTTATGAAGGGGCTATGCCCAGATAAACAAACTATAAACTCAAAATATCCTGTCAAAATGCACTTATTATGGCTAACCTACTTAATATCATAGCTTAGCCTAACCTTATCATGAAAAATGAAAAAAAAATCTAATACAAATCCTTTTTATACTAAAGAGTTGACTATCTCATGTAATTTACAGAACATTGAAAAACAGAGGTTGCATTGATACAACTTTTACATATCAGTAAGAAAATCCTAAGTCAAACATTTTAAGCTGGAGACCATCTGCATATTCTTTCATAGGCTTTCCAAAAAATTCAAAGCACTTCACATATGCGGGCTATTTGTTCTCAGAGCAATCCTGCAAGGGGCAGGCTTCTGCAGGCAGAAACTGAAGCCCAAGGACATTAAGCAACGTTAAGGCCACAAACTCCTAACAGATAAAGCTAAGTAAGGACCTGGGCCTCCTGCTGTTAGTGAATTATCTTCCCCGAAGGCATCTGTTTCCTTTCACACCCAGGTCTTTAAAGGAAGCGGTAGTAGCGCTGTGTCTGGTCGGTCTGACTGCAGCCGCTAACACTGTTTGATAAAAGCTCACACAAGCGATGAAAAATGTCCACAAATGCACTAAGGAAAGTAGGAAGGGGTGGGGAGATGTACAAAGTGTCTGACTGTGGTCCAGTCCAAAAGCAGCTGGGAAATGTATGGCTGTGTCTCACGGAGTCGATCAAGTCGGCGCTGCTGGAATATTAACAGGGATTGTTTAGAGCCTGCCCATGGGCAAGGTCTGTAAAGTGTCAGGCTCTGCACTATCAAGTGCTTTCTGAGCAACCGCCTGTGCTTGGGGAAGGCGCTTAAGCAGAACTGCCACAGTGAAGATGAAAATAAAAATGAAAGAAGCAAAGGGAAGGGTATCCCCAGGACTAAGTTATAGTATAGTGCTAACGGAAAAGTTTGAGACAAGCGGACAGATACATTGGCAACTTTTAACACAGCCCTCCGAATGGATAATATAACACTGTCTGTTGTTATTATCAACAAAATGCTAATACTTTGTGCCTGCTATATTGAACTAAAATTGAAGAATCAATCATTCTTTAAAAATGACTCTCCAGGGCTCTTGCAGGAAACAAGATTAGCCAGGGAATTTCTCTGTGCAGCCTCTTCTGGCTGGCCCCGTCCCTCTAACAGTGACTTCTAACTGCATGCCACCAACTCTGCCTTCACTCTGACTCCACTGTTGAGAAGCAAACCACTTCTTCCAGTCTAATCGATGTCCCATGGGTACCAACCTGTCAAGCCCAATAGAATCTACTCTCCCACACCCTTCTGCTCACACTTAACTCTCCTTTAGCTCAGCAATGTCTCTGCCCAAGATCTAGCCATCCTGGTCAGACGTTATAGTGCTATTCCACATCACGACCGAGCAGGGCTCCTCCACACAGCATCCTACCAGCCAGGTCCACTCCGCACAGCCCCAGTAGGTCTTCATCTTCCCTTTCCGGGTTACTGCAGGAGTGAACTCGGATGCTTTCCCTGCCTCCCTCTTCTCAACAATCCAACCTTGTGGCTAATTATCTTTCTAAGAGACCATATCATAATCCATTTCAAAATGCTTCCCTGACTTCCCAGCTTATGGGATAAATCCCAAAGCCTCTTGGAATCTAAGTCAAGTCTATTTTCCCGTTCTTGTCTCTCCTACCCCACATTATTTCGTTTCCCACCCAAATGTACTGCACTCCATCTGCCTCCCAGACTTGCTCTTCCCGTTCTCCTGTGCAGGTTCTCCCATCTTGTCCTCAAGAACAAAGCCTGTAGCTTAATGAAGTTACTGAGTTACCTGCACTTTCCTCTGTTTATCCCATCACACACATGTGAAGGGGACCATGATGGAGCAACAGAATCCCCAGCACTGTAACTCCCGTCCACAGTGGTGACATTCAAGGCTACACAGAGAAACCCTGTCTCGAAAAATCAAAAAAAAAAAAAAAGGTTTTATCATTTTTATAGAACTACTGTTATTTTTGAAATATTGTATTAAAAATTCTTTTTCTTAAGGTTGAAATACAGTGTGTGTGTGTGTGTGTGAGATGCACGCATACCAGTCATACTGAAAGACTTGTAAAAGTAACCAGTGGGTACAGAGCTTGCTGCACTGAAGCCCTGAGCTTGGATTCCCCAGCACCCATGCAAAACGGAGAATGGTGCATGTGCCTGTAGTTCAAGCACTTCGACAGTGATGTGGGTGGCAGGGACAGGAACGTTCCAGAACCTCATGGGCCAACTAGCCAGAGTAGAGAGGAGTAAGCAACAAAGAAAAGAGAGCCTGTCTCACAGAAGAGAAGGCAGCAACACGCGACTGCCACATATGCACAGTAGTTTGTGTGTGCCCACACTCACATATATACAGTAGTATGTGTGCACTCACACTCACATATACACAGTAGTATGTGTGCACCCACTCACATATATACACTATTATATGTGTGCACTCACTCACATATGCACAGTAGTATGTGTGCACCCACTCACAAATGTACAGTAATATGTGTGCGCTCACACATGCATAGTAGTATGTGCACTCACTCACATATAAACAGTAGTATGTGTGCACTCACACTCACATATATACAGTAGTATGTGTGCACTCACTCACATATGCACAGTAGTATGTTCAAAAGCATTTGTCTATTCCTTACTTTGTGTTTGAGTCACACTCGGAGCTACTGTTTCCCTGAAAGATCATGAAATTATGAAAATTAGGAAAGGATTAATGGTATTTTCCCACTTCATACATATTTTCCCACGTCCCACAGCTCTTCAGGGATGTCTGACAATGGCGGCACCCTGACTCAAGGCTGCCTGGGCCCTAATCATGTGCTTATTGTACACAGCCATCCACCCCAGCACCACTGGCACCAGCTGTCACCTCTGAACATATTACTTCAGGCACCCTTCCTCTGGAAGAATCAGAGACTTCCCAGTGCTGAAGCTAGGAACGCCTTGGCCATTTCCCCAGGCAAAGTCCCCAGTGAGGAGCCAGACCATAAGCCTCTGGTATCTAGGAGCAGACAGAACTGGGGCAGCTTGCCCTTCTCTTTTTCACATCTATAAAAATTATTCCAAAAATCACAATAAAACATAATGTGGTTAGCCCTTTCTTTGGAAATTCTTAGAGTGATGAGAAAACACTAAAACAAAAGCCAGCAGCCTATTGAAATCACTGGGAAGAGTGCCTATGCCCACTGCTAGCTGCAGAGCTTCCTGCTGCCTCTAAAGTTCAGATCCATGGTGCAAGGAAAGAGAACGGTCCTTGCGGACCCTCAGTCCTTCCCTTCAGCCACTGCTGGTCAGTGCTAGCCTTATCTATCCAAGGATTAATTCCCATCTCCTGCAAGAGCAGAGCCTTCTGCCAGAAGGACTGGGAGAAATTCCCAAAGCCCTTTCATATTTGGGAAAGTAAACTCAACAGTCTACAGGTCATGGTCAGTCTTTTTCCATGTTTTAAAAAGAAGTTTCCTGGGTTGTCTTTTAAACTCTTACTCTACTGATTCTAATCTGTGGCATCAAAATACAAAGTCCCCATAATAATATCATTTTATTGTAATTATTATAATTATTATAATTATCATATTATTGTATTAGGGAGCTGGAAAGATGGTCCAGTGATTAAAAACACTTGCTGCTTTTTAAAACTTAGGTTCAAGTTTAAAACCTGAGTTTTTAAAACTGAGTTTAGTCCCCAGAACCCATATTGGATAACTCACAACTGCCTGTTACTCCAGGCTCTAACATCCTCCACAGCCTCAAAGGGCACTGGCACACGTATGCACAAATGCAAAAATAAAATGTTTTAAAATAACAATGAGGTTAGGGATGGAATAAGGCAAAAGAGATGACAGATAGTAATGATGTAAAACAACAATCTTCAGGGAGCAGAAACTCCTCTCTTGACACAAAGCTGGGCCGCTCTGTGTGTGTGTGTCTGTGGGAGGGGGGGGGGTACGCCACATGAATTCCAGTGCCCTTGGAGGCCTATCTTTTTTCATTTTACATACCAATTCCAGTTCCCACTCCCTTTTCTCCTTCCAGCCCCTCTACCTCTCCCACCCCACCCCACCCCCACTCACTCCTCAGGGAGAGTAAGGTACATAGCTTTGGGGAAAGGCCCTCCCTACTATATCTAGGTTGAGCAAGGTATCCATCCAAAGAGAATAAGTTTCCAAAAAGGCCAGGACAAGCAGTAGGGATAAATCCTGGTGTCACTGTCAGTGGCCCATTAGTCTGCCCCATCTTAGTCAACCACATTCAGAGGGAAAAGTTTGGACCTATGCCTGTTCCTTCCCTGTCTGACTGGTGTTGGTGAGCTCCCATTAGCTCAGGTAAACTGTTTCAATGGGTGTCCCCATCATGGTCTTGACCTCTTTGTTCATATTCTCACTCCTCCCACTCTTTGGACTTTGAGACCTCAGCCCAGTGGAGCTAGAGTTATACAGGGTTGTGGGCACTGGAAATCAAACTCATGCCCTCAGAGAGCGGAAGACACACGTAACTGATGAGCCCTCACCTGAGGTTCTTATATTTTATTAAATTAGCAGCTTTTGACATGGTACCCACACAAGACACTACTGCTTATGTGCTATTGTTATCGGCAGTGCTACCAGTGGCTGAAGGAAAGAATTGTAAGTGAAGAAGGGAGAAAGCAGCAGAACAAGCTAAAAGACCTTTCTCCGATTGCTGAGCGCCTGGGCTGCACACTACCTCAGCTGGCTGTGGGTAAGAGAAGGACTGGGATGGCAGAGCGGGCAGAACGGGGGAACTTTCACGGAGATGACTAAAAATGGACTTTTTTCTATGGCTGACCAACACCCTGCCATGGTCACATGTTGCCTGTGGGGCAGGCTGATCTCAGAAGCATCACTTCTGGTACATGCATCAGAAAGGGAGTTATTCAAGGTATTCCGGAATGACTTTTCTATGTCACAACATCTTTCCTTTCCCTTCTCCCTTATAAGACAGTTGCATAAAATACGAAGAAGAGGAGAAAACAGCGTTAGATGGGCAAACAGGTAGGAAAGACCTGGGAGGAGTTGAAAGGGAAATAAAAATGTATGAAAAAACTTTAAAAAAAAAAAACTAAAAGACAAAACACACATATTCAAGTGTCTAAGGGGAACTGTGCCATTACATTACCCAATGACACCATTTCTTCTGACAAGCTCCTACCCCTGCTGAGACAAGGTTGGTACGAGGCTGAGAAACAGGGCTTCAAAGAGGCCCTTGGCTCTTGCACACTGAAAGTGTATACTGCAAGGGCAGCTTCCCCTGGAAACTTTTCAACAGCCGTGAAAATTGTTCTTCTCATGCTGTGTAGTCCGTGAAAGGTCACGGCCGCCCAAAACCACACGCACTGGCACTGCCCACTAGAGCACAATGGGAAATACTTGTTTCGTCTCACATTTGCAATACCATGTTAACAAAGTAAAACGGGAACTGAAAAGATGGCTCGGTGGTTAAGTGTTCACTGCTCCTCCAGAGGACCAGAGTTTAATTCCCAACACTTTCTGGCAACTCACAACCCTCTGTAATCTACCTCCAAGAGGCTCAATACCCACTTCTGGCCTCCACAGGCACCTGAAGACATATAACATACATTCACACAAACACACATGCATGAGCACACACACGCACACACACGCACACACACACATAAATAAAAAATTCAAAACATATTTTTAAAGTCAAACAGAAAGAAGTGAAATTAATTTTAATCCATTTTATTTAACATGATCTATCCCCATATTATCATTTAGACATACATAAAACTACTGAGGCTTTTAAAATATTCTTTTTCAGCCTGTTTTCAAAACACAGCATCTATTTTCCATGTGACGCACCTTCAACTCAGCAGTCACACATGGTTAGTGACCCCGAATTGAATACAGAAGGATTCAAACTTGCGGGGGTTGGGGAAGTGCCAGGCTGTGCTGTGTACACTCCACAGTCACTGCTGTAGCGTCCTAGGCTCAGAATAATCCTGTGAGACACATGCTATGAGGAACCCTGGCTCACAAATGACACTGGATGATTTACTACAACTGGCACGGTAACTAAGAATTAAGGAGTAAAATAGGTGTTAATTCCAAGGGGGGAAAGTCCTAATAAGAAACAGCAGCAGAACAGATACGCTGACCTAGAGAGATAAACAGGCCAGGGTAAGGCCTCTGCAAAGAAATATTTGTTGATAGCTTGGCTCTGCTGAGGTTAGAAATATAAAACTTACAGCAAATGGCATTAGAAAAAAAATGGAAATGGAGGTTGGAGAGATGGCCCACTGGGTAAAGGCACTCAGTGCCAAGGCTAACAATCTGGATCTGATCTCCATCTCCAGAAGCCATAGGGTGTGTTTACATAGAACCAGACATACTGGGCTTGAGGTTTTCTTAACACACACAAGAAAATATATCTACTATATAGTAAATAAGATTTTAGGTGGCAACATGAATTGAGTACACTTGGCCTTCCATATCCACAAAGTCAACCAACCGTTTACATTATAATAGGCATTATAAGTAATATGGAGATGACTTAAACACAGGAGAGTGTGTGCAAATATCATGCCATTTAAAAAAAAAAAAAGACAGAATTGAGTGTGTCTACATTGTAGGGAGGATGGAACCAATTCCCCACAAATACCAAGATGATTATATTAAAGTCTGGAAGAACATTATCTTCCTAGGGAGAACGTCCTCTGGAAGGAAGTGAGATATTCATGACATAACATTTGTACAGAGTGTGGGTTTAAATTGATAGATGCTGTTTTTTCCTCCTCCCTTGGGTCCAAGAGAGCTATTCACAGGGGCTGCATATCCGATACCCTGCATATCTTATATTTACGTTACAATTCATAACAGGAGCAAACTAGTTATGAAGTAGCCACAAAAATATTTTGTTGGGGGGGGGGGTTCACAACACTAGGAACTGTATGCAGGGGTCACAGCATTAGGAAAGCTGAGAACTACTTCCGTAGATGTTTTTCTTGCCTGTCATCTTTCTTTTCAAACAAGCAGCTGTTTTTATCCACAGAATTCTCAGACCCAAAAAGGAATGATTTCCAGACTCACTGCTTCTGATCTCCAAGGACACAGCGTGACTAGGGGAAGGGAGGCTTCCGGCAGGAAAGACTGCTCGGATCTGCATGGTGCTCCCAGGTGCACACATGCCAGGAGCCAGCATGCAGCTCCCTGGCAGCTCACAGGCACCACGGATGTGCTTGCCAGTGATACCCAATGAGGCAGGCTGATTAGGAAGAATCAGCTGCAGGTGCAACCCATGGTCAGCTCTGCAGAGAGGCTTCTCTTAGGCCCGGCAGTCCTAGGAGGAATTGGGTGTTGCTGAAATCAGTTCACTGCTTTGCACTGAACTTCCCACTTGTTCCGAAAGGGATTCCAAGTGCAAAGCAGAAGGTAATAAAGGCAAGGCAGGGGGGAAAGGAGAGGGAGGAGTGCTGAAATGACCACCTGGAAGGACTCAGTGATTGCCTCAACGGCCAGCCTGCATCCTTGAGGACCAGCTGATAGCAGGGCCTTGAGGGAAAGGAAGCGAATGTGCTGGAGATGCAGCATCTATGCCTGTTTCTCCAGGAAACATTTAGTAAGTGTGACCCATGTGCCAGGTATGGAGTGGGTTGCTAAGCATCCAATTCAAGATAGCCACATCCCGCAGCCTAATGGGCAAGTCAAGACAATTAATAGACGTGAGTACAGGGTTTACAGTTTTGGATATGGGGCAGGGAATTAACGTGTAGAGCGCCCATGTTGGCCTGGAAGTCAGAGTAGGTTTTCCGAAGAATACAGGACCTTGAGGCACCTCAAAGGATGAGATGCTAACGAGGCAAAGGAAACATGAGGGCAAAAGTGCATTCTGGGCAAAGGGCTCCCAGAGGAGGAAAAAAAATCACTCATGTTTAGGAAAAAAGAGATTAACAAAGGAGTGTTCATGAAACACAAAAGTCCAGGCAGGGAACCTTGAAGCTAAAGCGGCAGAATCGAAGATAAGATTGCCAGGGTAAGAAATGCCTGTCATCTTAAAGGAAAGTGGTCTTGTCCCGCACAACTGAAATCAGCAAAGTGATGTTAGAGTAGCTGTGGCTAGGAGTAGGGGATCTGTATTGGGGGGGGGGGGGCAGCCCAAGCATAAAGTAGGAACACCAGTGAGTCTAGGGAGAGCTACTGAGGGCGGAAGGACAGCAGCAGCAGAAGAGGGATGAAGCCCAGCCACAAATCACTCTGCAGCAAGGAAAGGATACTACCGCGACACCACAGAAGCATGAGACCATGTGCACACGAGGTGAAGAATAGCCAAGACAAAGGGCAATGTCTTTATTCTATTTAAATAAAATGCTCAGGAAGACAGATCTAAAAACAAGGAGTAAGTGCTTACCTACGGTTGAAGTAGGACTGGGTATCAATTAATGCCTGTAGGCATGAGGGATTTTATTAGGGTGATGGGAACTTTCTACTAAAACTGAATTTAAAATAGTAATGATTACACACTAAAATTGCCGAGGGCTGGTAAACTTTTTTAAAAGGTAGCTAATGTACACTTTAAAACAGATACAATTCTTTTTGATATGTTATTTCTATCTCAATGAAGCGTTTCCTTCCCTTCCCCTTTAATGTTTATATTCCCAGGCTGGAAATACAGTTGAGTTGGCAGAGTGCTTGTCCAACATTCAGAAGGCCCTTTGTTTTTTAACAGCACATAAACCTCGTATGGTAGCACACGCCCCCAATCCCAGGACTCAGGAGGTAGGGGCAGTGACTCAGAAGTTTAATGTCATCCTTGAGCTACAAAGGAAGTTCTAGGTCAGCTTGGACAAAAGAAAGTGAACAGTGCCAGGTATTTTCAGGAACAAGGTATTCCTATGATGGGTAGCTAGCTGTACTGAATAATCCGGTACCTGAGGCAAAATACAAGAAAGCCAGAGAGAACAAATCTACTATTCAAACACATAGACTGATTTCATTAAGACTCTGAACAAGAGAGGTGAGGTGTTGTCCAGGTTTTAAATCCCAGAGAACACTGTGTACCCTCCATCCCCCCCACCACACACACAGAGGTTAGTAAATCTTGGCTACAACACAGCTGTACCTGATGCTTCTAAGTTCACCAATAATCCTGACCCAGTGCTCTGCTCTTTCCAGCATGGTGCCTGAGAAACGAGGGTGTGAGTTCTGTGCTCCTGGGATCATCCACTCCGGAGCAGCTCATTGAAAACCTCGGTGCCATTCAGGCAAGTATTGCAGCTCTTTCCAGCAAACTCCAGAAATGCTACAGTGTGTCCCCAGGCAGTGTCCTGGACAAGGTATTGGGGGACAGGAAGCTGTAAGCAGCCAACAGCGCGCTTGCACAATACATGGGATCTAGGGCAGTCCTCTGCTTATTTAACAAACACGTTTCTTGGATTCCACAGTGGTTCATATTTTGAGGGGCAGCGCATTCCAATGTCAAACCCGGCAAAGGACTTCCTAGGTCTAGCCACAGAGCATGTTTAACTGCCCGCCTGAGTATGTAACACTTCCAAGACAATATGCACACACCATTGATTCATTTGTTCCCATCACAAACTACTGCCAGCCCACGGCATCGACTTACTCCTTTCCGGTCATCTGACAGCATCCTGTGATACCCACTCATATCAGTGAGGATAAGATGTGTGGTAACTGCTTGTCCCCTTTGCTGGACTGGAAGGCTGAACATCAGAGACCTCTGGCTCTCTTCCCCACTGATTTCCCACTTCCTACTATGTGACCCTAGTTATTACTCCAGGAGTAACTGGGGAATGAATTCCTGTTTGGAATTTTCAGATCGCATCCCCCTAGAAGAGATTCCAGGAGGCCCGTCGGCCCCCAAGGGGTGTCCTGAAGGCTGGGTGCTGGATTGAGGTTACAGCAGCACCTGGGGAATATGCAGGGAAGGACACAAGATGCCAGGTCATCTAAGGAAAGGGGTGGGGTTGGTGGCCTGATGGGATGGGTCCTTTTCTTCACCACTCAACACGTCTCAGTCCTGAGCCTGCCCTCTTTGTAGACACCTAGGCTGAGCCTACCCACTACTTAGACATAGCCTGCTGAAACAAAGTGTTTCCCTTCTGCTTGTGGGGAATGATGTCATGGCTTCTCCTCTATCCAGCTATTCCTAAGACAAGCCCTGTCACCTCTCCAGGAAGGAGGGGGAAGATGAGAGTATTTAAAACCCTGTTTAGAAACAGACCAGGAAGCGCTGGAGACTATGGTACAGATTGCTTGCCTAGCCACCACCTTTCTCAGGACCAGGAGGTGGGGTAATCCTCTGCCTGGTCCCAAACCCTGCCCAGCCACAGTTTCTCCTGGATTCTGTGAGGTCTGGCCCTGCCTGCCCCGGGAATGCCCCCTCTAATGAGCCACACCATCTCTGTTCATTTTCAGTTATGCTCCGGCCAAAGATACGGTTACACAAAGATGATGGGGTAGGGGCGCATTTGTACCCAAAAGAACTGACATTCGACTCAGTGGTTTCAATTCCACTCACAGACCGGGTACTTATTCCATCTGGCACCTAGCCAGTTGGGTTACTGTAATGAGTACGAGTGAGATCCTGTCCTCAAACTGCTGGTGGGCTAAGAAAGAAGAATGTAAGAAATCTACACTTTAAAGCTGGACTCTGAGAACTCACTATGTAAGAGGTACTGACAAAACCACAGGACACAAGATACTGTCCAGTCTTCTACACGCTTACATACATACTAGGTGACTGATAAAAAATGTACAATATTTCAGGGCTACTAAGCAAACAGAATGTGGTACCAAACAGCAACTGAGAAACAAGTAGGCCTACTTGACATAGTATCTTTGCAAAAGCCCCTCCCTATAGGATGTTTATTCTGAGTCTTTGGACTGACTTCCATGCCTTCCCACAGCCCAAGAGAATATATATTCAAGGAACAGGTAGAGCAATATAAGGGACCTAGGTTGGGAGGGAACACAGCTTATGGGTATGGGATCCTTTACAGGATTTAGAGAACAGATATGCTTCCATGTGAATGTCCAGATTCCTGAGGCTGCCCCCAAGGAAAGCAGAATGTGGTCATCACCTAGGCAATGGAAGTGGAGTGGGTGGATTTGTAGATTTGGGAGGGACAGATAAAAATCTTGGCAGGAAGAGAAATGCAGAATTCCTATCATGCTAACACTATGATCTCCAATCCCAGGGGCAGTCACAGCCAGGGGCAGGCATGAAGAAGCAGCCCTAGATCTGAGCTGGAGGAGCCCACTGGGCAGTGAGGGAAAGGGTACTTCCATGCCCGAAGGGCAAAGGAAAGGGATGATACCCAGGCAGCCTCATTGCTAACACAGGGCTTCCCAAACTCCCTTCTCCTTAACCCCGAGCACCAGCACAGAAGAGTCTAGACGTGATGTAATGGAAGCCCTGGATGTGGTGAAAAGTAGACTAAATGATAGCTGTGGAAGCCAAACACTGAGGATGGGACTGGCTGCAAAGGCACAGAAAATGTGCTGGCCGCCATAAGGAAAGGAAAATTCCAAGAGGACCGGAAAAGTAGTAGTTGCTCTGCACAACAGAACATGCCTATGGCACAGAGGTGCACACACCCTTACACACACACACCCTCTCCCTGGGATTCTAATCTCCAGTCACCAGAAACACTTTAAACCTGACCCCCACATACATCCCAGTTAATAGTGGTCCATCCTACAAAATCCCCATCATCCTCAAAGAACTCAGTCCTGGAGGGCCTCCTTGAGGACACCCAGTCCCAGCAACACTAGCCAAACTTTCCTGTAAACCGCCGAGTCTTCCAGGCAGCGTAACAATAAGGCTGAACAACTGGTTTAATCTCATTAAATCTGCATAATAGCTTAAGATGCTATAAAGTACCCACAGTGTTTTTAAAGAGTGATTTCACATGAAATTCTCAAAGTATGGCTCCTCTAGAAAACACTCGACTTTTAACAGTATACACATCTCCAGGTTTTATTCAAGTACTTTAATGTCTTCACTGTTCCTAGCTCTATGTATTTTGACGAGTTGTTTTTGTCTCGCATGGCTAGCCCACAGGCGTTTTCTTCCACTAAATTCAGTTATGACTTCCAGTCTCACTGTCAAGTCTCCAAGTAACACTAGCTATTTAGAACCTGAGACTCCAGAGCTAGCTGGCGGGGAAACAAAACTCCTTAGTCAGCTTCAGGTAGAAAAGCCTTAACCAGAACCACAAGTTGCCCGGGCAGAGGAGGAGCTACACTCTTGTGCCAAACCCCCAGGCTGCTAAGGACAGTCCTGGAGTAGAGACAAGGTCACCTCGGCCAGTAGGACTGCAGCAAAGGGTGAGGCCCAAACCTCAGAACTGGTCATCCTAATTGCATCTTACCCAGCCTCTCTACTCAGGGTCAGGCTATTCCAGAGAAAAAGCTGGTCTTTGTCCCTTGTCTCGTGGTATAATGTGTACCCTTTGGTTTCCTTCTCATAATAAATGCTGGCCCGGAATGAGCAGCGGCCTACATGCATGTCAGTTCTACAGGAAGCCCACATGCACACAACACATCCTGCTCCACAGTGACTCCCCATTCCACGATCACTAGCCTTTTTAAGTCCTGTACTGTCCCTTAAGACTGTGTTGTAATGCCTGGTCCCTTTCACCCTCCTCCAACTTATCCGTCTAGTTTCTCCCAGGTATCTAATGGGACCAAGTCCTTACAACAGAGGTTCTCGATTCCTTTGGAGGTTCAACAGCTTTTTCACACGGGTCTCATATCAAATGTTTACAATTCCTAACAGTAGCAAAATTATAGTTATGAAGTAGCAACAAAAATAATTTGACGGTTAGGGTCACCACAACATGAGGAACATGGTTACAACATTGGCTTAGAGTTCCCCCCACAACCCACAGGGTGAAGCCACCAGTGGCATTCAAGCTCCCTACACATCAGCTTCTCCCTCACCCTTACCATCCCCACTCGTCTACCCGTGTATCACTCCAGTTCACTACTCAATTCCACGCCTTCCATCTATCTGGGAAGTCTATGAAGCTGCAAACATCTTCAACAGTTCCAAGTCAATAGCTGGACCTCTATTCTCAGTCCTACATCAATGCTATCCACTGTCACAGCTTCTAGTAACATACGGCTGAGTACATGAATGACGGTGATGGCCTCTCCAAATGTGTGCACACCTGAGTTTATAGATGTGTGTGTATTCGTACGTATAGAATGTTCACAGGATTTGAAGGGCTTACTAATACCCCCAAAGTTCCTTAATTTTCTATACTAATTTCACATTAAAATGATACAAATATTAAGTAAAGTGTGTTAGGTGGATACAATGGAATAAAAATATAATTATACTATTTTAACACAGCTGGATTACCTACTAAAAATTAAACCAATGTAGATTACTTACATTGAATTTCCACGGTATAGAGCGCTATGAGACTTCACTTATGTTTTCATTTCTTGAGTCAACAAACACAATCCCTGGCTTGAAGCTCTGTCCCGTGCGAGGAATGAGGGTGGGGCTTCATTCCAGCTACGGCTTTGCAAACATAGAGCAAGTAGAAATGACTACTAATGTTGAATAGTCAACACTAACACCATCCTTGGTGTTTCTCCTTCTCCTCCTCTTCAGGTCCTCCCTAAGATGACATCACACGTGGTAAATGAGATTGACAACATACTGCGCAACAAGCCCTACAGCAAAAAGGACTATAGGTCATAAGGCAATGCATGAGCCACAGAAACTGCATGGGTAAAATCATGGTGGGTAGGCAGTGCAGAACGACCTTACTAGACACTTTTCCATCACTTAGCAGCTTGCTGCTCAACCTCTGGTGTCCCAGGATTCTCTGAGGTTTCTGCTGTTGCTACCACTGTGCACCCTGAATTCTGAACACATGAAAATTCACAGCCCAGAAAATCCATTCTATTTTCTTATCTTGAACTGGTCCCCGATCCTTGCATTGCTCTACGCAGCTCATGCTTCTGCAATGGAAGGAAGATTGGAATAGGGGAGTCTATTATCTTCAGACATTCGTAACTTAAAGAAAGCTGTACATATCTATTTTTTTTTTCAAAAGAGCAAAAAATCACAGAACAGAACAGAACAGAACAGTATGTGAGCTACATAGGAAACAGGATATCCTCACTCTTTAGTCTTGCTTGGGAGAACAAACAACTAATTTACATATGTTTTCGTATTTCATATTCACATTAGTAGGTTTTAAGTCACCTGTCACTCTAAAGTTTCTAGGTACTTGCTTCCACTATCGTTGAAGTTACTTGTTGCTTGGCCCTGTACAGTTTTTCTGGGGTAACCTGTTAGGATTCTAGAGTGTCTGTTTACACATAGAGGTATAAAAGTATGACCACCCCATCTTTACTAGATACATAATAGCTAATTTATAAAAGGGTTACAATGTTATGGAAACAGCTTTGAATATTGTGTTCACTTTTTACATTTTATTAAAGCCTGCATATATATACTTTCAATCGCTTGTAGGCACAACTTCTGCAAATTTAAGTATCTGAGATTTAAAAATACACACATGCTGAGTTTTTTAATTAAACCTATAAATACCGAGAAAGGCAAGTGTCCAGTTTACCACTGGGACATTACAATATACAGCTTGGTATTTTTTGAGGCGTTATTAACATGAAAAGCAAAGCATAAGCAATGTAAAAAAAAATGCCATCATTTCTCGGCATATGCTGGATAAATTAACTTGCCCAGAGAAAAAGCAAAATATTCCAAAAGCTCCTATTCTATCACACAACACTACACTGTATGCATGAGAGCTCTCTGCATGAAATAAGGGGCTCAGCTTTGTGTTCAGAATCTGAGATACACCCAGTCTACTACTTCGCCTCTCTGCATCCCACCTGAGAAAACTTAAGACTATACCTGGAAATAAGGAGAAATCACAGGATGAGTTTTTCTTTCCTTTCTGTAAAGGTGAGGTCATTTTCTAACTCTATTTGTCCATCTGTCGACGGACAAAATTCTACTTTACCTCTCAGCAAGTTCTCCATCACTTTAAGATCTACACAAGAAATACATGAACTTAAAATCATTTTCAGGTATTTATCACATGGCTAAGTTCTGTATCTTAAGCTAACAGGGAAAGATATCAACAAGTACACGATTGTTATTACCTAGAGTGTAATAGGCAATTTGGAAGTCCACCCATGAGTATGTGACTAATGATGGAGACTAACTTTCCAGCTATTCATTGTAAATTTAATCCACTGAACTACTGTATGTATAAATGAGTAGAGTGCTGTCTAAAGGAAAATCAATTCATTTGCTTAGAGTAATAAAGGCATCTGTGCAATCCCATAATAGATCTTTTGGGTCTTTCATTTTAAGGCTTAAGATACATACATACATTCTCTTGTATATAAAATACAAATAGAATGTCACCATGAAATAAACAATAATCATCTAAATGAATTAAATCGACAGCTATACTGCGCTGAATGCTTAACTGAAGTCACAGAGATCAAAAGGGGCTGAAGCGAGGAAGAGTGGTACACACTCTCACTCCCAGTTCTGAGGAGGCAGAGTCAGAAGGATCAAGAGTTCAACTTAAACTACATTAGACCATCTCTCAGCAATCCCCATTCCCACAAAAAACAGAAACAAACAAATCTGTACTGCCAGCCTTGAGTGCTGGCGCACACACACCTGTAATCAAAGCTCTTGAACTGCGGCAAGAGGACCTTACGTTTCTGGGCAGCTTGGACTGCACTTAGAAGACAACTTCACAAATTTACATGTTTCATAGGAAAGACGGTTAATATAAAACATGTAAAGATACTCACATGGTTCACATAAAGAACTGCAGAAAAAAACACATTTTTAAAAACAGTTTAATCATACTTGTTAAAAACAAGGCTTTTGTAAGAATGTTGAGTATAAATTCAACCTCCATTATTTCAATTAACTTCAAATCCTGTTTCAAAGTATTCTCCCCAAGTTCAAACAATATACCAAACAGTACAAGGTGTAAATTTAGACACAAGACTTATTAAGCAATGAATAAATCAAGAAATGAAAATGCTTAACACTAATATTCTACCTATTACAGATATGGGAAAAAAAAAAAAAGCAAGCACTTTTGAGTGTCCTGTTTTACTGGTGTTACATAGGGGGTCCTTTTAAAACAGTAGCTCTGCCATAGGATTTTACTGTATGTGTCTAACTCAACACTTCATAATTCTATGGAGAATAGACTAGGGAACAGAGTCCACATTTCTAAGTGTGAAGGACTCAGACATTAAATCCTTTAAGGGAGCCATCAGATCTGGCTATGACTTTGTACACAGAAATTTCTCTTGGGGCACAGAGACAGAGGACATTTTGGGAGTTTAAAGCAAAGACAGCTGTAGGAAACATTCAAGGCAGAAAAAACCTGCAAAATTACTCACCCAGCAAATTTTGGTTACTAATTAAAGAGAGTTAAAAATCTGAGGCTGGCACCTCTGTTTCACCATTCCTGAGCTGCTGACAAAATTATCAAATAATGGTGGTGACCTTCTTCCCACCCACACAGGCACTGCCACCTAGTGGCACACTTGCAGCAGTCACTTAGGAGGAGCTTGATGTTTCACCCAATTATTTTATTAGATAAACACCCTGCACACAAACTGTTACCAGCCAAATACTGATTAAAACAGAAGAACAAAGCACCCTACCTCATGTGTGTTACCTAAACACAATCTGCACTGCATCTCTTCTCATCTCCTATGCGTTCCACATCACCTGGTGATGGCACTCAGGTAACAATGCGCCACAACAAAGAACTGAACACGTCCAGAAGCATGAGAAGTAAGGTGACCATATAAAGACACTCCTCCAGGCTTCCTAAATTAGTAACGCAGACTACTGAAACTTCATCTACCAGGACAAAAATAGCTCAACTCCTGGTAAATACATCTTTAAAGTTACAAATAGTATCGTATGTTCCTCTTAAGTTTATAGGTAGAAACTAAGGATTAGGAGTAATTTCCCTTTGAGGTGCCATTTATAGGAAGTGCCCAGGTGTGGTGAACAGTAAACAGAAATATGAAGTCAATGACCCTAAGTGTAAAGTTATGCAAATCTAGAAATCTTGGAACAAGCAATCTGCACATGTTGTAGGGTGGGGGGACATGAAGTGAGGCTGCTCTTCTGCTAGACCCCAAAACATATGATCAGAGTTTGCTCATAATTGACAGGAATCCTGGGCAAAAGGGGACAAATTTGTGAAAGTCCTCATAGAAAAATGTTGACAATCCTTTTAAACCACTGTAAATTCCTTGGAGAGGTCACTGCATTCCAGGGCTAAGTTCATAAAAAGTCTTTTGGTCTCTCAAGTGTCAATAATCAGGAAAGATGTGCTTTCTCACTTACGATTATGCCTGTGGTGCTGAGAGCCTGCTCACAGAAAACAATGATTCCAGTGACTTCACACATCAAACCAATAAGGCAGGGTCAAGCTGACCTCCCTACCGCCCAGGGCCAAAGCCATACCGCCGAACAGTGTGTGCTTTAGCTTCACAGGCCAACACTCGTAGCCGGGTACTATTTTTAGGTCACTACCTTGGCTGCCTTTCTTTATTAAAAAAAAAAAAAAAAAAAAAGCTCTAAGGTTCTCTTCGTCAAAGTGGAGAGGCCATGTGTTTGAGTTATTATAAATTACAAACTCAGAGACTTCTGTTTAATCCCCTGGGAAGAGGATTCACTCTGAGATTTACAGTCAAAAGTTGTAATATTGTGCTTGGAACACAGAGAACCAGCTATTAACTTCTTCCTCCTATTATAAATAATAACAGCTCAGTCCAGGTTACCATGACCTCTGACAGCTGTAGGAAACAAGTTATTTTCTTCTCTGTGATTACAGCACATCGCAAGACTTCTTGCCTTAATAAATGTCCTGGTACTCTGAGTTTCCCCTTAATTCATTTAATTTCAACAATCTGTCAAAAAGAACCAATAAACAAACACTAAATTACATTCTATTGCATTTTTATCCCTCAAACTCCAGACTATAAAAACATCTTGTGTGTCTCCCAACCTGGCCACCCTGATACTTTTCCATACACCACAGGCCACCCATAGATACAAAGGCAGGGGGCCAAGCTACAGGGTCTACTTGGAGCCAGTAGATAGGAGGGCAATGAGTCCAGATGAAGCACTTATGGACAAAATGTAGTTCCTGCAGAAATAAGGTTAAGGAAAAAGAGAGACCTCCAAATTAGTTTTCAACAATAAAGGGGCTTTTCCTTATTGACACAAGCATGTGCGTGTAGTTTCACTGTCTGTAAACACAACTTACGATATGAAGGCTATAAAGCATGAAAAAATACAAGCAATGTTTCAATACTGAAAAAGACACTTGAGTCGAATTGGAAGAAGTAACAATCACAAAGAACACATCTTGGTTCCACTTAAGCCCTCATGAGAAGAGCTGGCCAAAGAACATCAGACACCAAACAGTAAAGGAGACAAATCCTCATGTCAGAGTCCTGAGTCCTGCTACAGCTGGCCTATAAGGGAAGGAGGTTCACAAAGTTCATGCTATTTGCAGCCTCTGTGAGCAAGCAGTTTTGGGGCCATTCTGGCAAGGCCCACCGGTATTCCCAAAAGACACAAGTTGGAAGGGGTCTGATGTTTTATTATACCAGAACTTCTATTTATTAAAAGTCTGGCTACATTTTCCTGGGTAACACCTTTAATAAGAAAAAAAAAAATCCCTTTAATAAAAGACAAATGACTCTTGACCAAAGCTCAATTTCAAAGCGTCCTGAATACTGAATATATAAAATGCGCCTGGCATTTGAAACTCCCCTGGCCATGCACCAAACCCGCAAGGCCAGCAGATACACAATGGAACTAGTGAAGACCGTCTACTTCCTGACTCCTTTCCGGTAAGTAGACAAAGTCACACACACAATGTACAACTGCTCTGTTATACTTGCTACTTATATAAACTAACTTACAAACTTAAAAACCACTAAGTCAAGCCAGAAACTTTTAGTTCTAAGTCTACAGACATCGGCCTAAAGTTATACTACTTAACTGACAAGTTTTTGTTTTCACTAACATACCAGACAGCTTAAGAATAAAGCAAACTGCTATTTATAGGGTTCTGAGAACTTTTAAAAGGATACACTGTAGGGTTGAAGTTCTTCAGTATAAAGAAGGAAGCAACAATGACCAGAACCAGGAACAGAGTGTTGTTATAGAAGATGGAAAATGTTGTGGCTTCATAATCGGCGACTTCATTCTTCTTCCACAAGATTCTATAGATGCAAAAACAGGACAAACAAGTTTATAAATATGACCAAAAACTTTAAATACCAAGTGGTTCTCATTTATTACAAGACAAACTTTTCCTTGCTTTCAAGGGTAAGAATGCATTTGCACTATTAAATTTAGAGCAAATTATCTCCTTTCTTCCACTGAATTCTGTTTTCCTTGTTGATGCTAAATAGCAGTTACTGGGCGTGTTACCATTTTCCCAAACATTCAACACTACAGCAGAAGGGGATGACATTCATTGCAACTGACAAAATTTTCTAAGCATTTAAAATAGGTGTCTTTGTTTAAAAGTCCCACCCTAAAGCCTGTGGACCAGCCACACATTTCTCAGGACTGCCATGGATATGGCCTAACACCAATGTTAGATGATGTCGTAAAACAGGCCAAAGGGCTAAGAGCCTTGGTGAAGTCTGCACTTAGTCTCAATAGTTGGTACTGCACGGGCTTCTTTGGCTTTAGCCTCTCTGGCTGCATCCTAGCTCAAGGATCTCTAATCAAGGGCTTGAGCCTTTAGTTTTGCATCTTGAAGGGATAACGACAAGAACACAGCAAGCCACCATCTCACCAGGTCTATCTTCAGCTGTCATTACTAACGTGAAAGAGGAATCACATGATTTTTAGGACAATATTCCTAACTTCTAGAAAATTCTTACTTTTAAATCTGTCTCAAGTGCTCCCATATTTATCTATCTTTTATCCCTCTAAATCAGCCAAGAAGATATTTCAGGATGCTTTTAATCAAGGCAGATTTTATTCCACTTGGCTAATTAACTTCGCAAAGTCATTTTTTAAAGAGTAGACTATGGGGTATGAAATGAAGTTGTTCAATGCCTAAAGAAATTAACCGAGTGAGCTGAGACTTGCTTTCTTCTTTAATGCACAGAAACAACAACAACAAACCCTGAGCATCCACCACACGCAGTACGGTAATCACTGTTTCTGAAACATCTGTATGTATGTACAGATTATTATACCTGGTAAAAGTGAAATGCGGCGTCACTGTGGCGTCATCAAAAAAGACTAAAAACTGCAACTGTAGACGCTTTGTCCTCCCCAGAAGCCAACCAAATCTGATGGCATGACAAGAGCCCCCCCACTCACCCCACAGGGACTACTAACCAACACTTTTACATGACAAGAGCCCTCCCGCTCACCCCACAGGGACTACCAACCAACACTTTTACATGACAAGAGCCCTCCACTCACCCCACAGGGACTACCAACCAACACTTACACTTCGGGCTCGCATCCAAACTGAAGCTTGGCTACAGGAGTTAAAATGAGGGTATTATCACCCATCTTCACCATGGGGAATCTGTAGTCTCTAACAACACTTGCGCTTTATTTCCTTGATTTTTACAAACACTACAACTTAATAAACGTACTCTACTTTGGGAAACAGGAAGAATATTACATTAAAGTATAGCCAACAACTAAAACCTTCTGAGTTCAAAGAAGAGTAAATGTCAATCTAAACTGGAGGAAATATATTTTACCACTCTTACACTGTTCAAAGAAATCAAACACAGTAAGGCGCACAGGCCCGATGCACCTGAATGCTAAAATATACTCAGAATCAACACAGCTATTTTAAACTCTGGCGTAAGACTCAGTGAGTTATGGCATGCTTCTACCCTGCTGATTAAAATCGTCCCCAGTGACATCTGAGCAGGTCTCCCTAACTCTCTTCCTACCATGACTTGAAACAGAATCACCTCCAAAACAACCGAGATGAAAGTCTGACCACAGTGCTACCCTAGCTCCCATGTTACACAAGGTATACAAGTTAGGACCATCCAAATGTCTTCTGGTTGACCCACATACTGGTTATTTTGAAATAATTTTAAAAACCCTAATGTATCATTACCAATGGGCCTACCAAGGTTTCACTGGTAGAAAAAATTAGCTTGGAGCCAGGCAGTGGTGACACATGCCTTTAATCCCAGCAGAGGCAAAGGCAGGTGGATCTCTGGGAATTCGGGGCCAGCCTGGTCTACAAAGAGCTAGTTCCAGGACAGGCTCCAAAGCTACAGAGAAACCGGGCTCTCGAGAAATAAAAAGAAAAAGAAAGAAAAGAAAAATTTAGCTTGGGAGAATACCTCTCAAGGAATCATTCTTCAGGAACAGTTTACTAAGAAAGGAGAAAAGGAAGACCAAACAGCAACTGTTACAAGCAGATAATACAAACAAAAGAGATTCAGGAAATCAGGAAGTAACAACCACACATCCAAACATCTGTTGAACCTCTAACTGCTTATTTCCATCCTGGGGCGAGCGGCCATGACAGATAAGACAGATACGCACCTAAACAGCTATAAATGGAGCCTAAAGAGAGACACAGATGCTGCACCTTTTCTTACACCAAACCTCTTGGAAGTAGTTTATCCTCCAAGAGCAACTTACCATCTTAATGAATCTCTGATCTGTTATCCAGAGCAATTGAGTCTATATTGGGGTAAACTATTTCTGGGAGAGAAATACCAACAGCACTGATACTGGTGACAGAGGAATAATCTGCACTTTACACATCCACCCGACACAACTCTGAAGAGTTAAGTTTCACTTCCAGTTCCCATTCTGACTCACTGCTAATGACTACCTAAACGTGGCACATTCTGAGACATCCCAGGGTCAAAATCCAGTACACAGAGCACAGCAGCCAAGTCCGTAGTGGACAGGTGAGACGGGTTTGCCATTTCCAATACGACCACCTCCAGAACCTTGATAGCTGGGTCAATTACTGTGAAATTTGGTTAACTATGGCATGTACCCAAGTTTAACAAATACTGTCCTACATGATTTAGGAAAAGGGGGCTTTAGGGTTACAGATTCTCTAACTTTTATTTCTACTCAAAATTACGCAACCAAAGAGCTATGCAGCCAAACCTCTGACTGCTCCCTACAAAGGCCTCCATTGCCATGACTTTAATATCCTAAGTTTTATAAAGCAGCCAGAGAAGATAATTCATGTTTGGTGCCTTTCCAAACCCCTGCAGAAGCAATGTTCATTAAGTTACTTGGTGTTCTTTAAATTAGGGTCTACTTGATAAAGACCTTCCACCAGTGGTGCCGGGAAGACTTCTTTTTCACAGGGCTTGCATACCATGCAGCTTCCCCACAGTGTGACTACTTCTCCCCTCGGCATTCTAATTGCCTGCAGTTCTTTGTGTAGGGCTGGAGCCTCAGCTTTCCCTTCCACATCACTGTCTATAGATGTCTTCTTCCTCGTTCAGGTCACATTTAGGCATCCATGCTGATCAGAGTTCATGCGTGTAACTTCTCTGACATTTCTAGCAGACCACAATCTCACAGCAAATTT